AGATGGGTAGTTGTATTTTCCCACAATCATATGAGCAGGCCTCAAGTATGAATTGAAACTTGCATAGACTTGAGCGGCAGCTTCGACCTCCCCTGAGTTGGTCTCATTACCACCCTCAGCAGGACTCGAACTGTGAAAATGCAGAGTATAATCTCGACACGTTAACAAATACGCCACATTGTCACGAGTGCCCTTTGGTGACAGGACAGATTTGAATTTCAAGATAGGCCTGGCATTGCACCATATCAAATTCTGAGTTGGAGAGTGTTATATTAAGATATGAAAAAACACTCGCATCACCTTAGTGACAATAAAGCGTAGTGTTCCTTAGTCTCACTGGAAAAATGAAGATCATGGTGGTAGGGTCTTAGGTATGATCGTAGTATAATTTCGTTGTATTGAAGTTGCTTGACTTTGTTTTCGCAACTTGGTCATATTGGCAGAAAGACCTAGAGGAACGCACCTTGTCCGGATTTCATAGTATGCATGACCATTTTCAGAGTCGGGCCGTGGACTTGGAGCTTGCCATACTTAGCCTTATACGACAACTTTTGACCAATCGCCTGTTAAAGAGTTATGTAATCTTTCCCACTGCCTGTTATATATACCCCAGGACAAAAGGAGAGATACCACAAATGCTTAGCAGACAATTAGTCAAAAGATCGGCTTCATTTGTCTCCTTGGTGAGTTGTGGTGTGGGGCTAAGTATGGAAAGGCTCACTGGCAATTCCGACTACGATGCCAGCGAAGCGTCTTAGGATGTACTAAGTCTACGGTCCGAATTTGAAAATTATCATGCATACTATGGACTCCGGACCAGCTTGGTTCATATAGGCCTTGTTGCCAATATGTCCGAATTGCGAAAACAAGCTCAAATAACTATTTTACAAAGAAACGAGACCGCGATCATTCTTATGGCCATACCTCCTCTTGACCAGCTGTCGATTGGCTTTCCTGGAAGATTCATGCTGATGCTGCTTTCGAGGCAATCTCCTTCGATTCCGGTGAAAAGGTGCTAAGCTTTCGTCCGTCATATGACGGACATCAT